ACTTTTCAGGGGAACTCAAGAAGCTGCAGGGAAGAGGAACAGCAAAATCTCCTCCCACAAAAGACCTTGCGTTCATATTCCTCAAATTAAAGTTTCTATCTTCAAATAAAAAATAAAACAAATTCTGTCCCCCCCAGTGGTTGGAGTAAAACTTGACTTGGAGGCCTGGACACAAAAATTTAAAGTCCTTGCTAGCAATCAAACAGATCAGCAGAAAACACGACGAGTAAGTAATACAAGTGTGTGTGTGTATGTGTTGAAAACAGCATGGCTGGAGCTGTGGAATTTTCTGTTTTTAAAATAAATAAATAAATAAATAAATATTGCTTTAATATACAATAAAAGGAAAGGGAAAGAAAATTAAAATATATAAAGGCAATAAAAGGAAAAAAGGAAACAACAAAAACATATTATGTTACAATCTAATATGTTATGTTGCTTTGTCACCATTTTGTGTTTTGTATTTTATATTTGTATATTGTATATGTTTTAATGTTACATGGTCTGGGAAGGGTTGCTTATTGTTTGTTTTTTATGCTGTATGCTACCAGAGCCATATTGTTTGAGTTGGGTGGCCTTATAAATCTTGTTAATAAGTAAATAATTAATAATACATACAAAAAAATCATTCAGCTTAGTTTTAAACACATCATTAAACACTTACCATGTACAATATTAATCAGTCTTTTTATTATATTACTAGAGAATCAATTCATAAAAAGAAAGCAAATATGTATCGATTATTCAAGATAGTAGATGTGGGATTACTGATTACTGTGTCATTCCAACAGTGAAAAATAGTTTGTTTTTTCCAGCCCCCATGTTGATAAATCCATAATTCTTCATAGTATGATAAATTTGCAAGTTTGGGGTATATAAATCAAAAAGTATATTCACATATTTAAAACTTACAGAATTTTGTAAAACTACATTAACAAACTGATGGATATTAAACCAAATAGCACAATAGTGGGACAATCCCAAATTATTTAATGGTCACCTCACCCATCCTACACTTCCAAAATAATTAAGTTGATAGCCAACTCTTTTTTAAACATTCACTTTGAGGGCTTAGTAATTATGAAAAAAGTATTTTATTGAATTAGTCTCATCTTATGATCCTAAGAAACACACGTAATATTCCCATACATATATATCCATATTCTTCCCTTTTAGGGATAAACAATGTTATCTATAGTGTAGAAAGGGGGTTAGAAATTGTAAGCCAATAGTAATAAAATTCTCTATCCATTTTCCCATCTTTATAAATATTCAACCAAATTCATTTACTTGCTCTATTTTTTTGCAGTTTACACATAACATGTAGTCATTCACTTGGTTTCCCTATTAAACACACCTTGTTCTTTGATGCATTGATTTTCAGATCCTTGTTGTATCATACAATCTAATATTCACAGCAAATCATTTGGGTTCTTGGTGAACAGCATAGCACTATCTACATACAAAAGCGTACATACTTTCGTGCCTGACCTTCACTGTCACCACAATAATTTCTTATATGTTTATCCATTAACACATGGGGACGTTACGTATCTTTGTCTTATTCCCTGCTCAGTGTTGAACCATTTACTAAACATTCCCTTTATTCCTAGATATACTGCTTTTATTACATTCAGCAGCCAACCTACAACTTCTAACTTACATATTAATTGTAATAAGGAAAGGCATCCTCAGGGTTGAGCCAGCCCTTGCCTCTGAGGTCCTACAGTTGAGATAATCCATTTCTGGGGAAGAACAGCAACAGGAAAATTAGGGCCCTTCATTATAAACCAGTTTTTCTCTTCCACACCAGCCCCTGGGAAACCAGGATTAATAATTAATAATTTATTAAATTTATATGCCGCCTGATTCCCAGTGACTCTGGGCAGTTTGCAATTGTTAAAAATATTTAAAAACAAAGAACAATACAAAAACATCACAAAACAAAAGAACAATTGAAGGGGAAATCCTTGCCCCACCCCAGGTCTGGCTAACTACAGAAAGGGAAACCAAGCAAAAACTTTGAGGCGTCAATAGCTCAGCCAAGCTGAGGCGGGTGCTAGAAGGCAACCAGTCAACTCCAGGGTTGAAACAAAAATAAACATTATTAAAGGTGTCAAAAAGAAGATGAGGTTCCTCACACAACACACAGTTAAAAAAAGATATCCCTAATGCAATTCTAACTACTGTACAACTAAACCACTCAATTTTCAACCTTGCCTGAGGTCACCCCCTCATCCAGGACTCCAGCCGACTCTTTCCACAAGGCCCAAAACTCTTCCTGACAGAAGCGGCTTCTTTTCCTTTATTGGCCTCAGAGGTGAGGTGACGACCTCTTGCACATAAGGTTGGCTGGTTTTTTAAAGGGCAATGCTCCCCACTACAATAATATTCCATAATTCAAAACATTCACTTTCTCATATGCTTTCTCTAAATCAGTAGAAATACAATTTCCTGTCCTCACATTCATGCATTTCTCAGTGACCTGCTGAAGAGTACAAATTGGTTCCACACACATTCTGCTAAGCATAAAACTACACTGTGCTTCCCAAATTTTGCCTTGTCACTTGCCATATCCTTTCAATCAGAATCCCACTGAATGCCTTCCCAGACTCTTAGTTTTTGCCTTCTGTCTTGTAACCTTTCTCTTTCTATAATGGTATTCTTGAAGGCACAGATGCTGACTTCCCACATGATAAACAAGTTGTATAGCCACTCCATAAACAAACCAATATCAAATCATGCTTTTAGATTTATATTTGTTTGCCATGTGTATGTACAAATGGTCTTACACATAAACCACATATCTGAAACAGACCTTTTTCTAAGCAGATACTCACCAATGTGTCAGTATACTCATTGATTTGTGGGTCTCCAAATGGCACAATCACTTTTTCCGTACTCTCTTTGTCTTGTCTATATTCATCTATTCATGTCACCTAAAAGAGTAATCTTTTCTTGTGGATTGCATTTGATCAGAATTTTGCACTTTTCCCCCAAATTTATCCCTGATTCTTCCATTATCAGCTTTCACTGGAGTATCATATGCAAATATCACCAATCAATGGATTCCTATTTTCGTATGCACTCACAACAACCTAGATGACAACGATTCATTCATTCTGACATACATCCTGTTCCAAAATTGAAACAGTTAATTTGAGGATTAGAACATTATGTGATGGAAAGTTTTGTACACTTTTAGAGGTGTATAGTATTCAGATCCAAAGTTTCAGATCTGGCATGGACAACCTTGATGTACCTGAGCTGTGTCTTTTCCTGGTCACTGGCTCCTTAATGCTCCCTTGACTACAGCTCATATTTTCTTGAGCCTATGTGACTATCATATGAGCCCAGGAGGAACATGGCTCCTTTAAGGAGTTGTCAATGGGTACATAGAGAATGCCCATGCCAGACCTGAGGGACCTTTGCCTACTTCAGATCTGAATATTCTACACCTATAGGATGTACAAAGCATTCTATCAAAGAATGTTGAAGATACTGAGAATTCCATTAGAAGAGAATATGTGTAGCTCAGGGTTGAACTGTGGAGTCCTTGGGGGTTCTCTGAGCTTGGTTGTTTTCTTGCAAACGTTTCATTACCTGACTAGGTGACATCCTCAGCGCTAGAATGGAATGGGGAATTTGCTGTCTGTTTATATATTGTGGCATGCCCTGCAAGTGTTGGTGGGGGTGTGGGTTTTGTTTTGTTCTATTTTTTCCTCCTCTGGTAGTTTCTTGATTAGGGTATTGTTT